GCCCTCGGTGGGGCTGGGCAGAGCGCGGCAGTTACCCAAGGCAGCGAACTCTGTGGTGCAGCCTGCGTTGTTAACTCTGTTTTTTAATGATAAGAAACGTTTTTAGCTTTAAATCAATTAATGTGTTTAGGAGTGTTTGGAGCGATGATGTTCCTCTCCGCCAGGGCCACTTCTGAAGTCCAGCCTTTTCCTTACCCTCTTTCCTTGACATTCAAAAGAGAAAACCCCTTTATGATTAATAGAGATTTTTTGCCATTTTATTAAGAGTTTGCCCATTACTTTGATTTGATTACTTTCCTTTTAATTACCCTAATTAGCCATCAAGGTATAATTTAGCATTGCTGTCACGTTAGGCCACAGGTGATATTACCAAGAAAGACCTGAGGGCACAAAAAGAAACCGTTCTGAAATAGAAATCCCATTAAGAGGAGCGGGGTTGATCAAACGCGTGTGCCTGTGCTGCTCCGCTGGGGTTCAGGCACAGCTGGTGGGAATGAAAATGCGACCGGGGCCTTCAACCCATTGTGGTCCGGGCTGCAAAAATCATTAGCCATAATTTGACTTTGCTGCATGACTGAGTGGTGTGGAAGTTGCTTCCAGCCACGTTTTGCCTTGTAGACAGAGAACGTGGAGGATGCCGGTATCCTCCATTCATCGTTCCTAGCATGGAGTCCCAGTTCAGCCCAGAATCCAGCGTGCTCGCTGCCGTAAGTGGGTGGCTGGAGGGGTGCTGGTGCAGCCCGCGTGGCTGGTCAGAAAGGTGCCAGCAACACGAAGAGATTATTTTGTTGACTTAGGGTTAGATAGCAGGTGGTACAATTTTAAGTTGTGCCTCATACTTAAGCTTAGGTTAATTTAGGTTCCTAACATCAGTCCTTAAAGGAATATGAGGAACAGCATCTACAAGAGCTCAATGCTGATGGAAAAAGAGAGTATTTTTCCAGTGGAAGGTACTGTGACCTGGTATGATACCTGAGGTGTGTGCTTAAAGCCCAGTGTGAAAACCTGTTGTTTAAAGTGGTGCAACCAGCAATGTAACTTAGAAGCCCTGGCTCATAATATTTTTTCAAGCCACCAGGCAATTTGCTGTTTGTCTTATGGGGTAGATATGGCAAGCCCTGTTTCTAGGATCATAAAAATGCAGAGGAGGAAAAAAGTGTGGAGATGTTTATCTAAACATTAAATATTAAGTATACTACACACTCATTAAATATTAAGTATACTACACTAGCACCTCACGATGTCTCTGATTACTGATAAATTTTTGAAGGGAGATGGGTGGGAAGGGAGTAAACACAGCACAACAAGTGGAGGGCTTTGTAAAGCAGGAGATGCACTAACATGTGTCTGCAATAATCCTTTTCAAGAGACACGGCAGAGAAACCTTGCACTTGTTTCTTTTAAAGGCTCTCGGTGCCTGCAGTGCATGTAATAAGTCCCTCCCTTCAGGGCTTGTAAGTGCTAGGTGTAGCTGGGACTGAGGGTGAGAAATCAGTAATACTTGCATTTGGTACAGAGAATTTGGCATGAAAAAGAAAAGAATGAACTTTCTTTAATAGAAAGGAATGTAATGGGGTGGGGCATTAGTAACTAAAAAAAAAAAAAAATTTGATTTATTTGACTAACATTCTTTAAGCTGTACTTGGACTGGAGAGCAGACACCAAACTCTGCTTTCCTTTAGGCTGGTGTAAGCATGCAGGCTAGGGAACGAGGGTGGCTTGTACTAAATTATGCAGGCTGGGTGACTGAATGCCCACAGCACCGAAGTCAAGAAGCTCTGGTGATGTACCAAGCTGCTAAGCCACGCGATGAAATTTCATCCCTAGGCATATTTAGTTCCACAGTCCGCCGGGAGAGTTAGACTGCTGGTACCTCACTCGTCAAATTGAGTTAGGGTATTCTTCTCTCGTGAAGAAAATTTGCACCCCTGGGACTGTATCCCCGTCACCACAGCTGCTGCTATTCCTTTGGGTTAGAGCAGCAGATTTCAAATGGAGACCTCTGAGCTTGGTTACTGACAGGTGTACTTCCTAACGTCGTCTGGTAGGGAAGCATGTGTGAAACATTTCAGGATGTTCAGGTTCTCTGCCAGCCTTTCATCTGCTGTTCTTTATACAATATGATAGACTGCTGTTTGGTCAAACCTTTCTGCACCCCAGATAATCACAGAAGTAGAACACATCCTCGGAAAACTACAAGATGATTAAAGTAGTGTTCATAAAGAGCTCTGAAACATGTGGGTGAAAGGTGGCATAGGTCAGAGAAGAAGTTTTAACCTTGTCGTTTTATAGTCTGACCCAGTTTCTCTGAATTACAAAATTGACCCCTTTGCTCAAGCTTCTCAGTAAGGCCTTGAGGAGGTGATTGTCTTAACTTTTCACTTGGCTTTGCTGGGCTGAAATATAAATGTGTTAATACATGAAATGCCCTAGCACTCTCTGAGCGCATAAAGGTGTATGGTCACAGAAAGCCAGCATCTCTGTATGCACTGGACTATTTTCATCTGTGTTCACCCCAATGAGAATGCAAAGGATTGCAGGGCTCCTTGATACACAGCAGGATTAAAACACACTTGAGCAAGATTACAAGAAACAGGTTGTCACTCCATTAGAGAAAGAAATAATCCCTTTGTTTATATTCTAGAGATTAAAGCAGTTACAGCAGAAACCCCCAAAGGTCACCACACACCTACTTTGCTGTCTCAGTTATTTGTCTATGATTTAACTGTGGGATTCGGCAGCGCAGTCGCATAATTTAATCAGTTCTCCTTGCGCTGGGAGTCCTGAAGCAGCTCTCTGTATGAGCTAGCAAAGTGGATCTGCTTATTCTGCAGACAGGTAGGTGTGCTTGATTTGGAACAAAAGGTTCATGATGTGAATGAAGTGTTTCCAAGGAGTAACAGGAACTTTAAAGCAATGGTCTTTCTTAGTTGCTGAAACTGCGTGTGGTTCTTAAATACCTGTGAGGGGTTTAGTCTGCTGCAAGGTTTCAGTTTTCCTTGTCTGCTCCCACAGGTGTGATGTGTATGACCCTCAGCAGTAATTACCTTTAACAAGCTTGTGTTCAATTGAAAAACAGTTGTCTTAACTGAAGAGGGCAAGCCAGACATTGCACTGAGACCTGAGAAGGAAAAATTCCCATAAAGCAGTTAGCTCGTGCCCAGTGGTCCCCTTCCAGAGTGTGCGTACCGAGTGTGCCCCTCAGTGAAGAGTCGTCTGTTCCCCTGGCATTCAGGAGTCGGCACCCTTCTTCCCCTCTGATGCCACATCCTCCAATACAGAGGCTCAAGGGTAGACGCTTCCAGCTGAAAATTCCTGCTCCGTGTCGTTTTGCTAGCATTTCCCAGCTTAGCTTGGCAAGTACGAGATTTTTCTAGATGGAGACTGCTGAAATAGATAGCAGTTGTGCCACGTATAGTTGGGGAGCAAGACTAGCCTCTGAGCAGCTCAGCGTTGCAACGTGCTAGGCTTCACATCGCTTGCGCCCTCAGAGTTAGCCAGCCAGGCTGATCCTTCAGCTGCCTCGGCACCGTTGTGTCTGGGGAGGAAGTCATCAGAACAGGTTCGCTGGAGCGAAGTCCTCAGCACGCCAAGCAAGTGGTGGTCCAAAAAATTAATCATGCTCTCTGCTTCCGTTCTTCCCTGTGCAAAATGGCTGTTATCAAACTCTGGTTTTGTGACATGTTGTTTGCCATGTTTATTTAGGATATAAGCTTTTGATGCCAGCAATAGTGCCTGGTGGGATGAGTACGATGGGCTGAATCTCAGAAGGGATCTCCCAGCACTGCTGTAACATGAAGAAGAATAAACCAGGAGGTAGAAAAAAGGAAGCTGTTACAACATCTCTGTAGCTACACTGCCAACTCAAATTAAACAGTGTTAACCAGCCCGCTTTATTTCTCCTCTGTTACAATTGAAACTTGCTACTTTTATTTCCTCT